TTTTCCTAACAAAATCTATATGAACATGAAAAGATAGTTTATCATTTACGTAACACCAAGATATTTTTTACGATATAGCATATTTGTAGGTAAATTCTTTAATTGAAAAAGAGTTGGAAGCACTGGATGAGCACAAACATAATTGAACGATATTATTTATACTCAACGATAGTTTGTTATAATTTGGCCATTCGCTCTCAGGTTTTGAATAGTTATTGAAGTTTTCAACTGAGCATTCTATTCCTGTAATGTTAGTGTCATCTGGAAAAAGAAAACAAGAGAAACTTCACAAACGCTGCAGACCTTGGGAAAGTCGTTGATATTTATTAGCAGCGAAAATGGCTCCAGAATTGAGCTTTTTTGTATCTTTAATAGCGGCGCTAACTGTAAAGCTAATGCAACCGTACACGAGAATTTCATGTTGCAAAATTTGTTTAATGTCTGAGCTCTAGTAATCAATTGAAATCGGTGGTGGAACGCTCCAAATGATCCCACGCTCTTTTCATAGTTTTTCAATTAAATTCTATATGAACATGAAAAGATAATTTAGCATCTACGTAAACACTAACTTTTTTTACGATTTAGCACATTTTTAGGTAAGTTGTTTATTTGAAGAAGAGTTGAAGCTCTGGATGAGAACAAACATAATTGAACAGTATTATCCAAATTCAATGATAGTTTTTTTAAAATTTAGCCATTCGCTCACAGGTTTTGAATAGTCATTGAAATTTTGTTTTCAATTGATCATTCTATTCCTTTAATGTTATTGTCATCCGCAAAAAGGAAAACTTCACAATATCTGCAAACCTTGGGAAGGTTGTTATATATTAGGAGCAAACGCGGCCCCAGAATTGAGCCATGGGGAACACCACATTTGACTTCTTCTCAAAAAGATTGGAATGGCCAATTTGATCTAATTGCATGCGTTTTTTCAAGTAATTTGTGAACCAAGTCGAGCTTTTCCCGCGTATTCGATACATTTCTAATTTATTATTTTTTTTTAAAAATGATAAGAAGGTGCATCAAATATCTTTTCTAATCAAGAAAAAGATCTCTTTTTACCGGACTTGCTGTTATCCAGGCAAGTTCTTTCGGTAACTTTAGAGGTTGCTTCAGTAGTATTTTATTTTTTTTGAAAAACAAAGATATATTAACGAGTGAAATTTCAGGTATTCAAACACTCTTTTGTGCATTGCACGCTCAAATATTTTACTCAAAATTATGAGTCGAGATATTGGCCTGTAATTGCTGACATTTACTTTTGATCTTCTTCATATTAAGGGTGGAGATCGGCATTGGACAATGGCCTTGGGTTTTCAATGATAAATGAATGAGATTTTTCAAAATAGGCGTAATTGTTGGCCTGCTTTCTTTAACAATGAAATTGCTGATACTGTCAAAACCAGCAGATGTTTTATTTTGCGTAGATTCAATGATATTGTCAATTTCAAGCTATTTAATTGGAAATTTTCGCATACAAAATTTCGGCTCCTCGAGAATATGATGCCATTCTGATTCAAGTATTTCATTGGCCAGTCTAATATCAAAAGAAGAGAAAAAACTATTGAATTAGTTTGCAATACCAACATCCGAGGTAAATTTGTCCCTGTTTGATTTTTAAGGAACGTTTTTTACTTTTTACTTTAAGGAACGTTTTATACTGGATTTGACCAATCTTTTTTGGAATTTACTATATTAAAATTGTTTTTTTTTAAATCTCAATTTCTGCTTTTTTTCTTGCGCTTTTGAATCTAAATCCTGTGTGTGTTGTTTTATTTTTTGACCATGCTTTATGTAGTCATTTTCGTTTTGCAATTAAATTTGTAATGTGATTAGTAATCAATTTGGCTTTTTCTTGTGTTCGTGCTTTCTGATTCAAATGGGGCAAATCAAATAAAATAATAGAATAATCTGAGAAAGACACGTTTTGGAGCACCTCATCAGATTTCACCTTAAAATCGTTAACAACAAAGTGATCTAGACGAGATTCACTTGTGCTTGCAATGCGTGTTGGTTGCTTAATTATTTGTCCGAAACCGTTGTTTTCTGTAACATCAAGATAATTTGAAGTGAGTTTATTTGATTTCAAAATATCAAGATATAAGTTGTCCATATTATGACAGGATAATTTTTATTAGATGATGTTTCGAGAGTTTCATCTAGTTCTTCAAGGAAGGAAAACTTGTCTGCTTTTGGATATTGTAAGAATTAAAGAGTTTTCACGATGTATTCTTACACGAATAAGCAAAGTTTCAGGTAAATTAGATGACAAGTATTCATTAAAAGTGACATTGCAAGAGAACTCCGGTGTTAGTCCTTTTTTTGCTAAGTATATAATTAGATCCTTTTTCAAACAATCTACATTATCATTTTCAAGTAACCATGTTTCCTTTAAACCTTATATCTGGTGGTAACTCAAAACTAGATGTAAGTGCTTTCAGTCCTTCATGGAGATAACTAAGAGATCTGATATTTAAAGCTGAAATTAAGCTAATTTTGAAATGATTGGATGCACTTCTGGTTGCTATTATTGACGAAACAATCTTCTATCATCTTAATTAAGTTTCTGACGTCCTGTGATACATTGAACCTCTGATACATTGAACAGTGTTTTTATCTGTGAGTGTATAAAATATGCTTCCCTCTCTGGTCCATGCTGATTCGATACGAGTATCTGCTTTCATGTTAAAAAACCTCAGTCTAGATGCCATTGAATATTCGGAGATTATGATATGGTTCATTGTTCGGGATTTGTTCAAGGCTCTCGTATTTTTCAAAAACTCCATTTGGTCTATGGTTAGTTGCGTCCTAGAACATGATGAGCTTTCGATATTTCCGACTTCAACACGTTTGCTTTAACTTCTTGAGCGACATTCGGAGCTCTCATTGTAGTCTTCAAATGGGCGTATTCTCACGCTGACCTTCCGCTATACCGTCCGCAATACGCAAATTGTCTACTATTATATCCCTCTAATAACTCGGCCTCAGATACCGCTTTCAGTTTACACTTGCTTCATTCCATGTCTATAGTTTTCTTCGTGTCTGCGACGATGGACATTCTAACACGGGGCGGATCTAGGATTTTCTCGAGGGGAGGGCGGATTTTCAAAAAAAAATTCGAAAATTTTGACCTTTTTTTTTTTAGGTCGACCAAATTGATTTTTCGAGCTCTCCCAAAGCACTGTTTTGCCCCTATTTTGGCAAAATTTTAAGCGCCGCAGGCAAATTTTTGAAAAAACAGTCAAAAAAGCCGTTTTTGGGCACTTTTTGAAAAATTTTGACAAAAAAATCGCGTTTTTTTTTGGCGCGCGCTCCCCCTTAAAGTTAGTATATATTGGCGCCAAAGACGCCTTTAGAAAAATTTTAGGGTCGGTCGGCCAAAAATGGATTTCTTAAAAAGTACCAAAGGGGGGACCCTTTGGGTCGGCAGGGTGTCGAATCCCTGAGGGGGGCGTGAGCCCCCCCCCCCCCTAAATCCGCCCCTGCATTCTAACATCATTCATTTCTTGCTTAATCGATGCTTTTAAGGTAGATGACATAGCCCATTGCAATTTTTGCGAAGCTTTTCAAAGGTGCTTTTCTATGACGGTATCGATGCACTTCTCTATCATGTCTTTCATGGATTCTTCTCGTATTGTCTGATCAGGGCTCATTTCAATTCACCTTCGCTTAGATGTTGGCTTCCGGGATAGGCGTTTGATCCTTGAATATCAAATTTGGCATGTTTGCTTGTTCTTCTTCAACATTGAATTCCTCTTCTTCAATGATTTTTGTGAAATTTTTTTGCTTTTGAGTGGTTTCCATTTTTTGTCTCTGAAACTATTAAATAATTTAATCACAACAGTTAAGCTAATTGCCACACACGACATAGAAAGCTTCTAGGGCGACATAGAAGCTTAAACAGTCGGGAGAGCTCATGCCATCAACCGTCACGACTCAGTCAACAATGGTAATTTTCCCAACAGCTTACTTCTCGCATTCGGAAACGCTTCATCAAACAATTCATCATCGCTACACTACTGCCGTGACAACGATGGGACTAAAAAGGCACCAAAAATTAACATGGGAACTCTGGCTATAACTTTGGCTAAGTGGACGCAATATTAGTTCTTTCTAACTGCGACCAGAGACACGTTTACAAGTTAAACCTGAAAGAAGACTACGCAATAGCAGATATGAAACTAGCACCTGTTAGTACGGACTATTTAAAGGAGAGCAATAACATGCAGTTCTAAACACCAAACAATAACGAGCACTAACCGATAGCCGAATATATCAGCAAACCAGAAGACATCAGCAAACCAGTTGAACCCCTTCACGCCAAAAATCATAGCCGATAGCTAACACATAATTCCAATCGACAACCACAGTCGACAACACTTTTGCTAACAGCCACATACGACAACTTAACCGACACACACAAGTTATATCGTAGGAATCCTTGCAGTCCCCTTTTCACCTTTTAGGCCGGCTATTATGTGCCATTTGATCTCTTTTTCCAGTCCCCCTTCGTTTTTTTGTGAAACGTAATTTACAAAATTGTTTTTGAAATGATTTCTGATATTCTTAGCTGTGACAAAAAGTTTATGCACGAACAAGTGAACAGGTTGTTCCAAATTTCCTACATGCATTGCGTATGAACAATTTTTCAATAATTTCATAATGTACTATTCCGAGAAGAGGGGGTATGAAACTGGAAAGAGCTGACATTTGCGACGATTGGCATCGAATAAAGCTTTGCTCAAAGAAATTAGGAAAATCTGTCAAACATTGGGAAATCAGATCAAAACTGAGACAAACTCAAAACGGAAGGCATGTTTAACGGGATGATGGAAATTGAATTTAAAGTCAAATTCTGAATAGGTTGAAGTCACCGTATCATAAAAACAATGGAGTAGCCTATTAACATCGTTCATTTTTCATCGATGATATGATGTGTCTGGCATTGCATAATAATAATGCTTGAATAATGATTTATGCTAACTCCATCAGCTTTTTAGATTGAGTACAAAACGAAGTTTCCCACTAGTCTTTGTCGCGGGAAGATAAGAGAGTTAACTACCCTGAGAAACAAGTTTGCAGGCGACAATCGAGTCTATATACACAGTGGAGAGGTACAGAAAGAGCCACCCGATGAGTCAATTGGCTGGAAGGAAACCTCACAAATGGGAGAAAAGGTTCATACATTTTGCGCGTTCCTTTTTCCATAACTCAAGTAATCCTGGTTTTCAAATATATAGCTAGATTATCTGGTCAGTAAGCGTATAAGTTTATATGAAATTAGCCTTTTTTTATGTGGTTAGATGGTGGTAATGGCATCGTTTTATTGAGTGAGACTAAAACTTCATTTGTTTCTTCTAGAAACTTCCGAAGAAGATTGAGCAGTATAGTTGGAAATATGAAGAAGTGATAAGAAACGTCGATGGTACTTTGTCACTTTGGGATTCAGAAAAGGTAATTAATTGTCTACTGAATCATAATCTTTCTTCAACTGATTAATTATGGCAAATGTGATTTATCTGAGAAGCTGAGATATTTGGCTGGGTTGCTTGAAATAGCATACACATCAACAGATAACCGCTTATATATAGTTTTCATGTTTTTCTCTGGAAGTATGACAACAAAATAAAGTGCGTAGGCTCTTTTTCCTCCCCCGCCCTGCATATCTGGTGTAATAAGGGGTGCAAGGTTAAATATGCAGACCAACTATGTTTGTCGTGAACTAAACAGTCCAATTAACAATTTTCATAACAATCTGACAGCGTGAATTATCATGTTAAAGTTGAATTATCATGTTAAAGCATGTTCATGCAGGTGGGGGAAAGGAAAGGAAAAAGAGCCGACGAGTGTTTACTATAGTTACCGCATTGCCACACCATTCCCTCCCCAACTAGAATTAGGTGTGAGAAAATGCGAATTTTTCACACGATAACTCTAAAGTGAAGGTTTTATCACCTACATAACATATTAAATTATAGATATATAACTTCGGGTTAACAAATTTGCAGTTCATCAAAATACAAATTGTACCATCAAAATACAAAGTTTCAAATAACTATACATTTTGCGCGTTTGTTTGCATAAATAATACAGAATTAAAACAAATATCACAGTTACTACATGCCTATTGAGGGCATTCTACGGTAGGTCACTTCACTTAGAGGGGGGGGGATTGTACAGTTGATCCACTGCATTTAATCCGCGTCAATATATAAAATTTAATGTAGCACCTAGGCACTTAGCGTAATAACAAGGCGCTCACTTTGAAATTGTCAGATCGTGAATTCGATCCCATGCCATGGCAATGATAGTGTGTGAGGACGAACTCTCTCTTGACCTCTAGCTTCAGGTTTACCACAGCCTTACCAATTTCGGCTGCAATAGTGTTGCCATGTGAAAGTTCTAGGATCAAAACAAAACGGCCTTGAGTCGCAAAAAAAGAGCTTTGCTTAACAAAATAAGAGTAATTTTAGAGATGATCCTGAGGGATTCGACCCCCTGCCGACCCAAAGGGTCTCCTCTTTGGTACTTTTTAAGAAATCCATTTTTGGCCGACGGACCCTTAAATTTTTCTAAAGGCGTCTTTGGCGCCAATATATTTTTGCGCCAAACTTTGAGGGGGAACGCGCGCCAAAAAAACGCAATTTTTTTGTCTAAATTTTTTAAAAAGTTCCCAAAAACGGATTTTTTGACCTGTTTTTTAAGAAATTTGCCTGCGGCGCAGAAAATTTGGCGAAAACAGCGTCTTTTTAGTGCTTTAGGAGAGCTCGGAAAATCAATTTGGTCGACCTAAAAAAAAGGTCGTCAAAATTTTTTTGAAAATCCGCCCCCCTCGAGAAAATCCTAGATCTGCCCCTGGAAAAGTGTACAGGCTACGAAAATCGTGGATATCATTTTTCAGCTTGAAATCCAAGAAATTTTTCAGATAGTTTTTTTTGGATTTTATAAAAACTTTATCTATTGATCCATGCTTCTCAAATTTTATCAAACAGTGGCAATAATCATTTTTATTGGACTTCAACGAGCTTGAAGGCCATATATTTTCTACGAAATTCGGAAAACATTTGAAAAATATTTTTAACATCAAAATTGTGCAGTCATCGCGTGATTTTTAATTTTATTTTGTTTCACAGTTTTTTTATGAAACTAACCCGCTGAATCGATCTTTTAGAGTCTATTAACGTTGTGATGTTAACGTCTATTAGGTCGTGATGATTTTTTGACTAATCGTCTCTATCGAACAGCAAAAAGCAAGAAAAATAAGGGTTCGCTTAATACAGGATTGGCACGTTTTAAAACAATGTTAAAAACAAGGCCACTTTAGCTGTGTGTTTTAAATGAAGAAAAATGAACAAAGCCATGGTGTAGGTTTTGGAAAATTGCCACGAAGTCTGAAATTAATATGTTTCATTATTCAACGCAGGGGCGGATTTTGGGGGGGGGGGACGCCCACTTTAGGAATTCGACCCCATGCCGACCCAAAGAGTCCCCCCTTTGTACTATTTTGAGATATCCCTTTTTGGCTGACTGACCCTAAAATTTTTCCAAAGGCGCCTTTGGCGCAAAAATATACTAATTTTGAGGGGGGAGCGCGCGCCAAACAACGCGATTTTTTGGTCAAAATTTTCCAAAAAGTGCCCAGAAACGTGCCCTAAAAAAGTGCCCAGAAACGTGCCCTAAAAGGACAAAATTTTTTGAAAATCCGCCCGCCCTCGAGAAAATCTTAGATCCGCCCCTGATTCAACGGGTAAACGTTTTTCGGTAGGAGAACTGTTTCAATTTTTAAAAGTTTGAAACGCATAAAAATACGTTATACCTTTTTGACCAAGCCTTGTTTAATATAAAAAGTGTCAATCAATAAAAAAATTACAATTTTGAAGAGCTCTAATGTGATATCGAACATTTTTGAAAAGTTTATTTTGGCCGTTCGTTTACTGTGGCCTTTCAGTTTAGACAGCTTCAGAGCTGTTTCATTGGTCTGTATCAACACAATAGGTGAACTTGAAACTAGAAGTTTAAATAAATTAGGCGACTTGAAGAATATATGACGAGGGCAGTTGATATGCTAATATCTCCCTATAAAATATGCCTTACTAAGTGAATAAATGAAAAAAGAATATACGCAAAGTTTTCCAGATCAGATTCGAACAAAATTTCCTATTTTTCTAAAACTACTCACGTGAATTTTTCTCAAGTGTAAACAGGTTTCATTGGAAGTGGCAATTATAAATCATTTCAGGTTGCAAGAATAACCTTAAAATCTCATAGACAAACTATCGAAGTACGGATTTTGGTTCCGAAGGCCGAAAAGAACCTGGAAAAGTCAACTTCTTTTTCTCAATCGTCTGTGAGAAATGAAAAGGACGTCTCAACCGGAGACCCGTCTGTGAACTACGTTGCTGTGACTCCAAGGTTGAAAACTGTGACGAACAGAGAAGAAAGTCTGAGCTGTTTGAAGCTGAATTTATTGGATCAGCTGAATGCGGAAGAGGGAAAAAGTTAGTGAAACCATTTAGTTCGTTGGTTATGATTCAGGCAAGCATTATAAAAGTCTTACGATGTAACATTAAAATTTGGTTGATCAAGTAAATCGTTTTTCCATTTTTGTTCTACGTTGGACCCACAATACTTTTTCAGAACTGATAGAGATACAAAATGATTCATTTTTGAAAATAAGCCGCGTGGTGTCCTATTTGCGTTTCTTTAAAGAAATGACAGCTAGTAAATTGCTATAAAATCAAGAATAAAAGCCTTTTTACGCTTGCGATTGGAAAGCGTCATCAAACTGTAATACAGACTTTTTTCGGGTTAACAACTTGTTTCAAATAATCACTTGTATCTTGGTTTATAATGAATTTAAACTTCTATGCGTTCCCGACCAACTTAGCCTGAAGTTAACGAATGTGCCCAGGACCTGTTAATTTTTCAAACGGGAAACATTCTCTTTCAAATTGAATTGACGGTCAATTATTTGCCTGCTTATTTGTTGTCGACTTAGTTGTCACATCTTGAAATCTTTTTTTTGCTGCGCGGATTTTTGTTTAATGTTGTTTTAGTATTTGATTTAATCCTTCAATTTGTAATTGTACTTAGCTTGACTTCGTAATTTCTTATTTGTTTTTTTTTGTTTCACTTAAAAAAATGTTCTCGGTCCAAGTTATTTCGGCCTATTTTTATCGGCTTAATGACCTAATTTTTGGTCGTTTGAAGTGAAACAAAACTTGAACACTCCCCTTCGCACTTTTCATTTTATCTGTGTGTTTACCAATCGTTTTATTGATTTTTTTCTCATAGGAAAGTTATTTCCAAATTCATTGGAAAACTTCTAGTTTTTCTCAGAAACCACACTGATTTTCAAAATGAGGATATCAATTGAAAGACCGTGCACTCCCCTGTGTGCCTGTTTATTCACCTAGAGTCTCTTTTTACTCTATCTTTTTGTCTACAGCCTTTGAAAAAGTCAGTGGTGTTATCTGTGACCCATATTTTTGATTTTTTTCTTCGTTTTCTCTAATACCCCTCTCAAGTTTCAATGAATAGAACGGTTTCGAAAAGCTCCCTACATGAGCGGCTGGGATTCAATACCCCGCTTTGAGTTCAATCGAAATTACAGATTTAGTGAATCCCTTCTGAATAATTGGCTAGGATCTATTTTTTCGCACAAAAAGCTATGATTCTCAAAAATGTGAAATTTGATTAATTGACATTGTTTTGGACTTATCTCGCTAACTACTCTGGAAAATCTGATATCATATATCATAGGTTTAATAGACACAACAGGTTGTTGAAAGTCTTTTTTAAAGATAAAAGCTATGGCCTTCAAACAAGTCTAAGTTTTGAAACTTGACAATTTTTTTGCAATTTTTTGGTTTATCGCGAAAACTACCGTGCCAATTTTCAGGTTGTGTTTAATCGAGAACCTCGGTTTTGGCAATCCTCTCTGCTAATTGGGCCGAAATTTGCTCTTTGTAGGAAAAACTCATGGGTTTTGGAAGTCCTTGTAAATCTGAGATGAAAAGTCAAATTGAAAGAACCGGTTGTGATAATGTGTTCTGCAGAAGCGGAGGCTCCATAATTTTCTTATAAGAAAAACGTTATCTCTTTGGGAAAATTGATTATCTCAAAATTTATTTATTACTCTTCTCCCTTATTTAGTAGAGAAACAACTAAGGTTTTGGGCGAAGTACAATTTTTGAAATCCTAATTGTCGTGCCGCATCAGTATAGCAAATTCATTCAATTTAAAACACATACCATCAGCTTTAGCTGGAAACCTAACTGTTTTTTATCTGGACATACGAAAATTTTGGTTCACCTAGTTTTTTTCAACATTTGAAAAATTTCCGACTTTTTTTGTTTGTGTTGTATCGCAAGTGGTGCGAAGCTCCGCTTGGTTTCTGTGGTTTCATAAGTTGTCACAAAGGAAATATCCGTTCTATTACTCCGATGAAACTATGGTCGTCCTACTGGTGCGAATAATAGTTTTTTGTTGTTGCCTTACGGGATTTTTTCACCCTAACTGTTTGCGCCTGGTCCCATCTTTTTTTCCCTGGAACGCCGTTGTTTGAATTGTGTATCTGCAAAATTTTTATAGCGACACCTGCCGTGGTGTTTGAAACTACTTCAGCCGAGGGGATGTTATTCACTTATCAATAGCAACTAATATATGCGTTCCTTTTTAATTTGTCTGGAAGAGGTCCTGCAAAATTTATTGGACTTCTTCATTTGGCTCAACCACTGGTTCCATTTGGAATGAGTGTTGTTTTCCAAATACCAATTTGTAAATTCGCATTGTTCCGTACATTGCCGGCAGTTTTGTGCCATTTCTACTACTGAGCGGTGTATGTGAGGTAATCATATGTGTTGGCATAGATCCAGGATCGCGGTAGATCCCGGTTGAGTGAGGTAGATGCTCTTCAGTATTGTTTGTCGAAACTGTGTCGGTATCCTGATAAATTCGTCCATGTGTAGGCAGTCATTCCGTACATGGAGGCGGTTGCGGAGGTTGTACCAGTAGTGGCCGTTTGAACATTTTAGTGCATCCCAGTCTCTATTTTGGACGAATTTTATTATGGGACTCACGGTGTAACCTCGTTCGGGAGTTGTTCTTCTTGTCTTCACTGGGGCCCACGCGGCTGATGCAGTATTATTTTTGTTCAATTGTTTTTGAGTACGTAACTTTTGTGGCTTTGCTTTCTGCTTTTCTTGCTACTTATCGCTTTTTGGCGTTTTGATCTTTTTGTCTTTGGACTCCCTTCTATCTTAGTTTTAGTTGTTCCCGTTCAATGGCTATCGCCATCTAGTGTTCACGTGTGTTGCCTTTTGTTGTCGTAGTGGGATCCATGAGACAAGATTCTGGTTTTCTCTGGTTGTCGTTTTATCACTACAGCGTATAACGACCATCGCACGAGGTCATGCATAACCTCTGCGGGGAGCGGCGGTGCATCATGTTTTCCTATTTTAATTGTGTATCTTGCATTATGCCAATTTGAGTTATCTGGCGAACTGGTTGTTGCTATATTCGATAGAGGTGTGTTGGGTTTCCTTCCCATGTGCGCCTCGAATCGTGAGATTTTCGTTACTCCTTGAGGAGTAATTCGGAGTGTTTTTTATAATTTGGGCGACTTCCGATACTCGTTTGAATAGTGCGTTATTTTTTTCTATTCTCATAACCCCAAATTTGCGCCTGGTCGCATCTTATTTTCCTTGGAACGCCGTTGTTTGAAATGTATATCTGTATAAACTTTATAGCGACGTCTGCCTTGGTTTTAGATACTACCTTATCGGTGGGGATTTTAAACACTTATCAATAGCAGCTATCATTTATGCGTCACTAATTAATTCGTCTGAGAAGGGTCCTGCAAAACCTATTTGGACCTATTCATTTGGCTCAACCACTGGTTCTATTTGGAATAAGTGTTGTTTTCCAATAACGGGTTTTAAATTTTTACCTTAATCCGTACATTACCGACAGTTTTTTTGATAGTTGTACTACTAAGCGGTGTATATGCGGGAACCATATGTGTTGTCAGTGGTCCAGCATCGCGGCAGATCCCGAGTGAGTGAAGTGGATGCCCTCCAGTACTTGTCCCAAAACTTGTCCCAAATTTTTTCAGGAAACCTAAATTAATTTTTTTTCTCTAAAGTCTGAATTACCAAAACCTGTATTTGGGTGCTGTCAGAGTACTCTATAGATTTGCAAAACTTGCCTCCAAATAGGACTGTTCAAATCCTTTTAGTTTTCGAGATATGACGTTTTTTGTGATCTTTTCAAAAATTTGCAGAAAACAAAATAATTTTTTTTTAATTTGAAAGTCCCAACCCTGTAGTTGAGTGCTGTCAGGGTACTCTCAGGAGTTACAAATCTTGCAAAAATGCAACTGCTCAAATGCTTTAAGTTTCTAATGTGACAACTTTTTTTTATTTTATCAGAATTTCTCAAAGAACTTCCCTTCAAAAAATTTCACAAAATTTGGAACTACTAATTTGATGAAGAGATAACCTTATTATCAACGTACACCCAGGCGTCGCAAGTCTTGCCTACAATTATGAATGCTCAAATCCTGGTAGTTTCCGAGATGTGAGTTTAATTATGATTTTTTCCCAACTCTGTTGAGTACTCAGAAGGATTGCGAATCTTGCCTCCAAAAATGACGGCTCAAATCTTTGTTGTTTTTGAGATATGACGTGTTCTGTGATTTTTTCAGCAATTTTCAAATAAACTTAGATGTTGAAACTTCCAAACTTCAAAGATCTCAATCGTGTTGTTGAAAACTCAGGGTGCTCTCAGGGGTTGCGAATCTTGCTACCAAATATGACTGTTGAAATCCTTGTATTTTTCGAGATATGACGTTTTTTGTGATTTTCTCAAAAGTTTTCAGAAAACAAATTAATATATTTTTTTTTGAAATTTGAAGTCCCAACCCTGTAGTTGAATGTTGTCGGGGTGCTCTCAGGAGTTACAATTCTGACAAAATGCAACTGCTTAATTGAGACTGTTCAAATAATTTCAGTTTCCGAGATGTGACATGTTTTTGATATTTTCAAAATTTCTCAAAGAAGTTCACTACAAAAAATTTCACAAAATTTGAAACTACTAATTTGATGAAGAGACAACCTTATTATCCACGTACACCAGGCGTCGCAAATTTTGCATACAAATAGGAATGCTCAAATCCTGTTAGTTTCCGAGATGTGACTTTTATTATGATTTTTTCAATTTTTTTCGCAACCCAAAGCTGTACTCTCAAGGATTGCGAATCTTGCCTCCAAAAATGACTGCTCAAATCTTTGTAGCTTTTGAGATATGACGTGTTCTATGATTTTTTCAGCAATTTTCAAAGAAGAACGTAGATTTTAAAAATTCTAAAACTTCGAAGATCTCAATCCTGTTGTTGTAAACTGTCAGGGTGCTTTCAGGGGTTGCGAATCTTGCCTTCAAATATGAATGAACTTGTCCCAATTGCTAATCTAAACGGTTTAGTCGTTTGAGAACTTTGAATCGTTGAAATATGAACTGGCATCATCTCAGCTGATGTCTGACAGAATTGTTGTAGATCTGAAAATTGACACCGTTGTTAAACAATCATAATAATTTTAATAAGAATAAAAATAATAAATTGTTTCCAAGTGAAGTCATTGCACGAACAGTATTACCATGAAGAATTCTTTCACAAAACAATAACTTGAGAAAGCGCCATAAGACTAAATTCAGCCTGTTTTCAAGCGTCTCACAGCGAGAAGCAAAAACAGTTAGTCTTAGATATCCTTGTAGTTGGGCTGGGAGCCCAACTTGCTCACAAAAGATGGAAGGGTAAAAGTTCTACCGTTCGGTAGAAATTGGTGATTTAGCAGAATAAAAAAGCAGCTAGAAAAAAATTGTCGAAAAACAGTACAGGAGGCAATTTCATTTTATAACAGTTTAATTTTGAAACATTTTATCATTTCTGTAAATTTAGGGCACAAAAAATTAAACTGTTGAAGAGGAAACGAGTTCTAGCAGCAATTTTGTGTGTATTGTGACAGCTCTCGTTATATTCATTTTAGTTTTTTTTTTTTTTTTTTCTTAAGTAATTTTTTGTAGATTTTCAGGTTCGCATTCACTCTGTATTACTTTGCGCAAAACTTTTAGCAATTCACAAGTATGTAATTCGGTAATAGTAAAAATTTTATATTGTTTTCTTATGTTTTTGGTTGATTCAAGTTTTTTGTTACATATGGTCTTACAGTCTAAGGCGTCGCATAGTCAAAATCAGTGTAAAAAAAACTTGATTAGTTGGCTCAAGTATTATTGCATTGAAGAATATTGCTTTGGAGCAACCGTGGCCGAGTGGGTCGAGACACGGTCGTGCGTTTCAATTCCACTCTAATCACGGGTGGTAGGATCATAGTGTCATCTGCCTCCTCAAGTTCGTCATCCGCCTCCTCAAGGTTAAACCGGCTGCGGCAAAATGAATGACACATCTCCACTGGGGTTGGCTCTGAACTGAGTAGGACTGGGCGCTATTAAGAAGCTATTACTTTGAAGATGAAAAGTTAATGGGATTAGAACAAAGACTTAACTCCTCCTGAATGATAATAAAAACAGCAAGTTCATTCGTGTCTCTTCAGCCCTCTTTACAATTGCGAAGCGAGTGTATTAGTACGAACCTTCTTTTTTTCCAAATTAAGTCGCAAATATTGGTGCCACTTTTGGGAGGCACCTTCACAGCTTTATAGCATGTGCTTTCACATTCAATTAGTAATGAATTAACAGAGTTGATGCATTTTTAATTCATCAAATGAATCGAAAAAGAGATTTCTTTCAAACAACATAACAATCATGAAAACTCGATTTCAGAATTTTTCTAACTCAATATATCTCGCAATTGTTTGATAAATATAATTTATTTATAATTTGGCACTATGCTTTGTGATTTGTTACATGCAAAAATAAAGTGGGTTCCTTCAGTTTGTTATATTCCAATTTATTACTTGCAAAATTGAGTCTATTTGTATTTGGTGCCACTTTTGCTGAATGGCATTGGTAATTTATTAGCATATGTAGCTGCTTTATTCGTGACTAGTGTTTGTTAGTTGTTAAGCTTGCGTGGCTGAGTGGATAGTGCTTGAGACTCAAAATCTTTTGATTGCAGTAGGTAGCAGATTCGAATCCTACTCATAGTCGAGTTTGTTAATTCGGGTGCCGGGCATCAAGCCGACGGGACTTCAAGCCAAACGTTTTCTCAAAAAGTTCTACATTATGATTAATTTGAAGACTGGTTTGAAGATATTCTCCATGTAATGATTTGTTTTAGCAGTTTTTGGCTGTTTCTCAAAATATAAACCTCTAATTGATGTTTAGGAAAGTTAAAAAGTAAAACATTGTTGGAGGCGGTTTTTTATTTTGGATGCCATTTCTAAGGGTTCTTTTTCATGAATGACGCTCATTATGGGCTAAACTTGCCTTGGATGTCATTCCTAAAGAGTGCTTTTTCATTAATGACGCTCATTATGGACTTACTTGCCTAAATTTTTGAAAAATACCATTTCACAGATCAAAAAAAAATGTTTTGAGGTGCTTATAAAGTTTCAATTTCGGCCTGAAGTCCCTGATGCTTGTTGTTCTAGACCCGCTAATTCCAGGCTTATTTCTTCTGTTTTTTATTTCACTTGATAGAGCAGCTTTTTGGTCGTGTTTTCGCAAGTGTTTGCGAAGCGCAGCTTCGCCTCTGTGTTAATGATGTAATCTAGACCACAAATTCAAAATTGTTTGGTCTTTTCTGCAGCCCAGAGGATATGGCTTAAACGGTAAGTTGAGTTGCATGCAATTTATGACATATCTGAGTTGATTGGTGACAGTTACGGTACTTGAGTGGCACGTTTCATGGTTTCTATCGAAAAAGAATAATTTTGATGACGAAGATTTGAAATGATGCTTTCAAACCTGGTAAAAACATGGTTAATTAAAGGACGCATGTTTGCATGCTGCTTAATCGCGTATAATGCAATTGTTATTTTAAGTAAGCGGTGTTAGGCGTTGTTTGGTGTTTTTAGATAAAGCTCTAGCAGCTGGTGGAACTGAATCTCTACCTAGTTCCTCTTCCAGTGAGGGCACAGGAGGGCGCAAAGTGAATTGGCACAAGTATGTGTGGGTGACACAACTGCACTCGGTTTTGTCAGTGCCCCAGTGCTGGAGGCCACCGACTGGTCTACTAGTGCACTACTCCACACACTCGTTCATTAATGGCACGTGCTTTTGTTCATCATTTCACTGGCTGCATTTATAAAAGTTCGATACAGATTATTACTCGATCCAGCAAGCGTCTGCTAATAATTTTTCCTTTAGTAGCAAATAAAGCTGCATATAGGTTTAGATGCAAGAATTTTTGATAATAATCACAAGAAAAAAGATGAATTTATTTTTAAGTGTTCAATTGAAATTCATCCAATGAAAGCTACGTAAAAAGTACTCTCCACATAGGATAGTGGAATTGGCGCAAAAAAAATCGTGAGCAATTTCGTTTCGAAAGTGGAATTTTCAGAGTTCCAGTGGAATAAAAACTTTACCTAATGATCCAGTTTTCTCAAGTTGGGTTCATGTGATCAAAAAAGCGCCAATCATAATTTGTTCTAGAAATTTGAAGAGCTTAAAGGGCATCTATTTTTTTCTGTGAATTTAGAAAGTTGAGATTTTAACAATAAATTCAGTGTTCTTTTTATGTTTACTTGCGTTCATTACTCTTTTCTAATTTTTGATTGGCTATGATTTTTTCTTTGAAATTCGAAAGTTGAGATTTTTTCCAAAAAATTCTTTTTTTTTGTTTTTATTTGAGTTCATTTTTCATTTCCAACTATCAGTTGGCTATGTTTATATTTTATATAAACAATGAGGCGGATAATTTTTGAATAAACTCAAACTCAAATGTAATCAAGACTTATTTAACAAAATTTTGATAAGACGCAATATTTTGTATATTTCAGCCTAGGGTGAGAACTCTAAAGTGGTTTTAAGAGGAAAATTGATTTGGTTTTCTCTAAAAGGTTTTGACAGAAGATGACTAAATTCGGTGGCTGTTTAGGACCGAGTAGTGGCATATGTCCGAAGCCAGTGACTTCGGAGCCAGATTTTGACGAGTGGGTTTTGGCGGAGAGCTGTTGTTCAGCCTACTTGCATCCCTGGAGACAGATCAAGGGCTTCATGGAGTCACGAGAGTCCACTGCAATATGGGACCATCAGCCTATTCAATCTTTCATCATCCCCAATTGCGTGTTTAGGTTAGAGTTAAATGCAATTAGTTGTGGCTGCGCCTAAAATAAGTGCTCCAATTTTGAAGGGAGGAAATGAGGGGCATTATTTTTGCTACCGATTGACGCAAGCCATAGTTTCTGATGGGTAAATTCATAGTCTAGCCAGTGCTGATCAGTTTTGATAAATAATAGCGTAGAAACCACAAGAAAAGTGCCTTTTTGATGATTTCGCTAGTAAAAGTAAGAGTTCTATCCAAACCGCGAGAGTAATCGACGAAACTGAGTCTAAGTAATCGACGAAATGTGAGTGGGATGGTTGCCTTTGCTAGGGGCAACAATTTCTAGCTTAAAAAACGGAAAAATGCATCAGGGGCAGTACAAGTGAATAATGAGTTTCAGAATAGTGAGTCCTATGGGCAGCAATGATTGCTTCGTGAGTGAGTGGGTAGTGGAGGTAGATCTGCCAGACGGGTCCCTCCTCAGGAGTGAGGAGACATCATCGTCACCATGCGCACACCAAAGCACATGCAATAGTCGGAACGACTTCAATGACGGCCATGTTCTATCACCCACAGTTTTCACTCATTTCTCCTTTAACAAGTCCCTTCAAAACGTAGGTCAATCTTCAATTGAAAATCAAACAAACGGTCTTTGAGCAGCTTTTTTGCTCATATAACATTGTGTTTTCTAGGTCAAGTCTGTTACAATATCGCTTTCCAATCCGCCGCCCAAAGTGCCGGGACAGTCATATGATCTTGTACACATTGGCAAACAAGCTTGTGACCTTTTGTCCTCTGTAAACAGATCAATGATGTCTGGATTTGAGCCTAAAAAGTCGTGTGTCAAGGTAATTTTATTCAATCGGCTGCAAATTGTCAAAGGGAACTGAACGTATTCTCTTGTAAGCGGTCTTGTGTGGCATGTTAAAGCCGTTTCTAGTAGTTTTTCAGATTATCTAAAGATGTGTCAGTAATAATATGTCCAGAAAAACGTCTGCATGTTTACTTTCTGGTTTTCAGTTGGGGCTTTTTTAAAAATGGAATCGCCGACATGGTCACCATGTTTACTATTCCATTAATTCGCTATGTAAAAATGACTAAATTCAAGTTTTTTTACACAAGGGCAGCGTAGTGTGATAATACGATGCAACTTTTTTACTAGCCTAAGTCGCAAATAAAAGTGCTATTTCTGGTGGTACTTTTGCCAATGCGAAAGTGCTGCTTCCGGGGCTTTTTGAAGAGGTATGAAACGATGTGCTTTCGAGTTTGATTAGTAATAAGTTAACACAGTTGATACTTTATTATTTCATCAAATAAACCTAAAAATTATTAAGAGTCAATGAACGTAGTTCAGACTCGTTTAAAAGTCGTGATGATTTTTTTTTCATGAAAAATCTAAAAATTTGTTCAAGTTCAAATTTGCTCTGTCGCTGTTAGATTTTCGATTTATTTTTGAGTTCATTATTTTTGCTTGAATAGTGGATTTTTTCCTTTTTTTAACAATCGAACGGCAAAAGTGTAAAGGTCACTTATAGTTGCGAAAGCGGAATTCTGTTATCAGATTTTCCAGCAAAATGAAAAATTTACTTCTGGATACATCTTTCTAAATTTGGCTTAATTTTTATCAAAAAGTGTCAATCAATGTTCTAGAATTTCAACGATCTTTAAACCATCTCTTTGTTTCTCTGAAATTCGTAAGTTTTCGAGATTTTTTTTCAAAAATAAGTCAGTTTTTGTGTTCGCTTGCTTTCATTGAATTTTCTCCAATTGTCTGTTAGCTATAATAATAATAATAATAATAATAATAATAATAATAATAATAATAATGTGAATTTAGCGTACGCAAGGGGTTTCCCCCACAGTTTCAGTTCAGTTAGTTAGACTCATTTCTGCAGTTGTTTCGGATAGTCGCACAGATTTTTCCAATTACAATGGTTGGAGTCATCCATTGCAATAACCGTCCTTTGAGTCCTATCGTGTTGGTAAAGTCCACTTTTTGAGGAATCAAACCAGCCAGCCTCTTTGCATGAAACCAACAATTTTTTCACAAACAAATTTTGCAGGGCGTGTACATTCAAATAAACGAGATCTTGTATTAGCTAGGTCATTTGTTGGCAGAAAAATTGTAGTCTTAGTGATTATTGAGGATTTTAGATTGTAAAAGTAAATTATTGAGCTGAATGTACATGGGTAAAGGCAGTATTCCTAGACGCTGAAGCGACGTTTTGTAATTAGGATCTGTTGCAATCCATTTGCATGCATTGCGTTGAACACCTTCTAAGAGTTTCATTTCTTCGACGTTCAACTGATAGCACGCTGAACCGTATAGCAAAAATGGAATTACCATGGATTTGAACAGATTAAGTTTGGACTTGGTATTAAGAGGCAGTGGGTTGCGCTTAAGCATGCATAGAGTGTTGAGGGCTTTTCCTCTTCTAAGTTTAATATGCGATGTCCAGTCTAGATCCGATTTTACAATTATTCCTAGGTCTTTTTCTTCTGAGACTTTCCTAATTAAAATTGAGTCGAAGTTAAAGTCGCTACTTGTGGGACGTTTAACCGGTCGGTGAGTGCATTTTGACGCATTGAACGCAATCTGGTTTTGTGGAGTCCACGTGAAGATGTTATTTAGGTCATTCTGAAATTCTGCGTTAAGTGTACCAATTCGTATGAACTCTGCGTCTTCTGCGTATAGAAAGTTGGTGGAATGATCACATACACTTGGTAGGTCGTTAATCATGACAAGAAAAAACAATGGCCCAAGTTTTGATCCTTGAGGAACACTGCTTGTGACATAGAATGATTAGGACAGACAGTCTTTGTTTTTTACACATTGTTTTTTATTTGTCAGGTAGTTATAAAATAGTTTTAATATTTTGCCTCTGATTCCCAACGAGTAGAGCTTATCAATTAGAATACCGTGATCTACTTTGTCAAAAGCTTTCTCGAAATCGGTATATATTACGTCTACTTCTTCATTTTTGCTTATAGCTGAACAGATGGTATCAAGATAGAGCAGCATTTGGATGGTCCCTGACCTTTTCGCGCGAAATCCGAATTGGTTGTTGTGCAACAGGTTCTAGATGTTTATATAGATCGATGAAAAGTACTTTTTCGGAGATTTTGCTGGCAATTATAAGTAGTGATATTGGCCTGTATATACTTATCGAGGACTTGCTTCCTTTCTTTTTGAAATTTGGGCTGACAATAGTGTTTCGATTGATCAGGGAAACAACAGATCAGGGAAACCCTCCTCCTAACTTTTAAAGCTTTAATTCGCCCCATACTTGACTATGCAGCCCCCGCATGGTCCCACGCATCAAGTAACACCTCCATAAATTGCCTGCAGGTTGCCCAAAACCAATCCCTTCGCGTTGCTACTGGATCAAATCTAATGAGTTCCACTGCCCACCTGCACAGTGAATCTGAAATCCTAACGGTCAAAGACCACCATACCCTTCTGTCATCTCAATTTTTTATCTCTACCTATCGTTCCCACCATCCCATTAATTTTATACATTCACATCCCCCTCCTCCCCGTCTACTTCGCCCCTCAATTATAAGCTGCTTCAAAGAAGACACCCAGAAAATTTTAATCGACTTTTCAGTCTACGCAAACCACCCTCTAGTTCTGGACGACCGAGACGAAGTCTCCACTTTTATTTTTAACTACTACAAACCAATTTTAAAAGACAACCATACCTCCCTTGTAACCAAGTTCCTAGCCGAAACCCCTCCGTCTAAAGTTATTTGTATCCCTCCCCCAAAGATTGACCCCTCTGAAAAATCTCTCCCACGTCCCACGCGCTGTAAGCTCTCACAACTCCGGTCTGGCTACAGCCGGCTCCTTAACACTTACCTATCCCGCCTCGACAGCTCCATCTCCCACCTTTGCCCAACCTGTTCCCTTGCCCCCCACACAACATGTCACCTTTTCAACTGCTCCCAAAACCCCTCCCCACTCACCCCAGCAGACCTGTGGCTTCGGCCGGTAGAGGTTGCTAAGTTCCTTGACCTGGAGACAGAAGAGCCCAACCCGACCCGCGTGGGCTAACAACAACAACAACAGGTCTGGAGTGCTTTATATATGATATGGTAGAGAGAGGGCGTTAAAGATTCACTACAACGCTTAAATAAAACAGGAGGTAGTAGATCGGGACCTCTCGACTTACTTAGATCCAGATCATTACACAGTTTGGCAATCAGATTCCTGTCTGGTTCTATATTATGAGTAATTTGTTTAATTGAGTTCTCTTGTTTTTCAAGACAGGATGGTTGAGAAGAGATTATAAATGCTGAGTTAAAAAACTTGGCGAATAGATTAGCTTGCTCTGGCAAGGTTTTCGCAACTAAATTATTAAGTTTCATGACGGAAGGTAGTTCTGAGTTACGGAACTTTCTATAGTATTTAAACAGGCTTTAGTATCACGCGAGTTAGACAGATGTTGTTCGTATTCGCTTCTGTTATTCTCTACGGCGGTTAGTACCATTTCATTCATTGCAATCACCGAGTCACATTGCGAACCTTTTTGTTTGCGTAATGTTGACAGATGTTTCATTGAATTTGACGTCTCAGGAGTTATCCAGGGAGGAAGATTTTGTCTATGTTGAGTTCTACGCGGGATGAGTTTTGCAGGAAAGCTATGAATCCATTCGTACCATAGTTCGAATATTTTTGTAACAATTGACCAGCAGTAAGGTGAGAAGGTGTTGATTGAAAACGCATCGTTTAAACAGTTGAAGTCAGCTTTGCAATAGCTATAGAAACTGGTTTTACTAAATGTGGAGCTTTTCTTGAGTTCCTTTAAGCGGATTTTTGTGTTGATAGGTTTGTGATCAGATTTTGGTGCAGTAAATACGTCGAGTGGTAGGGTGTCGATTACTTCAACCGGTTGTTAACAAGGACTAAGTCAAGTATATTAGCGTTTGTTGTTTTGAAATGAACAATTTGAGTTAAGCTTTAATTTATCTTTTTTGTCAAGTATACATTGATGGAGCGGTTCTGAGGTTTGAATGGACCAGATTAATGTCTCCGTTTATTATACGATGATTTGCATTGCAGTTCCACAAGAAGTCCATTAGCTGACAAATACGGAAGGGCTCCAAATAATTTTTGCTGTTAGGAGGGGGGAAATAGCATGTGGCAATTAGTAATGAGGCTTCGGAAGATTCCCAGATTATAGCGGTGCAATAACCTTGAAATTGTTCAGGAAGAGAGATTTCATAGCATTTTAGTGCAGACTTTGTTGCAATAAGGACCCCACCGTGGGCTGTTTTTTCATTTTGTTTGGTGTTTCTGTCAGAACGACAGATATTGAAGCCAGGGAGGAATAGTTCGGAGTCGCTGATGTTAATTGTGAGCCATGTTTTGCTTAAACAGATAATGTCAAAGTTGTTAGTGAAGACAAAGTTTGATAGAGATGTGCGCCTACTTGAGTTCACTAAGCTTCGGGTATTAAAAGTAAGAATCGAATAATCAGTAAATTGGTCAGTTTCGTAACTCAAAGAAAGTCAACATTCACTTAAATCTACTACTGCTCCATCTAGGAAGAGTTCTAAGTTACGAATTTTTAATCGGCTAGGATCTGTGTTTTCTTCGAGCAGACTTCTTTTTTCAAGATTTTGCGTTCTTGTTCGGTCTTATTCAACGATTTGCTGATGTACACTTTGAATTTTTCGTCTGCGGTACCATAGTATTGCTTCAGTCTGAAGGCACTCGCAAGTACCTTGTACGCAGTCATTTTGTCGCGAAACTAAAATTGTTCTTGGTCTTATCGACTCAGGTCTGAATTTTCCCATACGTGTTGCTGATGTTATGCTTCTTTTTGTATCTCGAGATGTTCCATGATTGAAATCATGCCTTTTTCTTCGTGTTGTATTATGCCTAGCTGTCTGGGCTTCTTTTCAGAGCTGACATATTTGAACTCCGGTATACCGTAGATCCTCACCTCACATGTTTTATCATCTTCGGAGCTTTTCTGTTTCAACAGTGCTGAGATGTAGCTACCCTTGGAGGTTTCCCTTGCTGATCGCGTTTCTGACATTGCTGATCCTTTAACGATATCGTGCACTTTTTTATTGAAGTTTTTATAGCATTAAGGTCGTTCTGAATGCTCTCTTTTTCGTTGAACTTAAGTATTAATTCTTTGAATAGACAAACAATGTTGTCTTTTTTCGTTTTGCTTAGGAACTTGTTTAGATCATCGTCGTGAGCAGACAGGATTTGATCAAGTGAGGGATAGTAGTTCGCATCTACCGAACCAAAGCGCGTCCTGGTCTCACCCATTATATCGATATGGGTCTACTAGCTAATGATTGCTTGCTTTAAGACTTGTTTGCAATGAATCCCGAGAGGGAGACCTATTTGCCAAGCCTTACAAACAGCGGAGCGGAAAAAGGAAGGGAGGGGTTTGATTTTAACGGTGAATTCAGAAAAGAAGACCTATCTGTTAAAGTCGAAATGAGGGCTCTAACCTTATCCCGTGCAGGATCCGCACAGACAACCGGTCGCTCGATTGCACTCGTAAGTGTTAGGTCGTCGCTCGCTGACACTTACAGAATAGTCTTCGTATAAGACCCGTTTCTTCAAGATGATTCTTAGTCCACTCAAAGCTGACTCGTTGAGGTGGACGTGATCTCGCTCGTTGACGTGGTTCTCACAGTAAATCTGTTCAGATAGGCCTCGGAAAACCCAACGAGCGCCAACTGCTTGTTTTTCTATCTTTCGTTTTACTGCGAAGTGTCGGATGAGATCGTGGTCCTGAATCGATTCGCGTTCGGCTGCAGGGGGATATCGAGGGGGAATGCCAGGTACAAAGACACGTTCGCAGACGTGGAGCAGATGGTTTGCTGGGCTGACTATACGATCAGTTACTTCCTCTACGCTTGCCGTAGATGGTAGGTAGCCGTAATACAGATCGTTTCCGCCCGCGAATTTTACAATTTTGTCGTATTGACCTTTTCCTGGCACAAACCTGTACAGATCGTGAATTTGAGCTCCGGGTAACGAGAGGATGTTGATGTTGCTAAATTCTAAACGTCTGGCTTGTGAGTCTGCAATCAATATGCTTCGAATAGGCTATCCTTGAAGATATGGAATCGCATTAATACTATAGGGACCACCAGGGCTGTCCCATATCAATCAGTTATCTAGGAAGACCTTATTTAATAAGCTTAATCATTTTTGTTTTGTTTCTATGTTTTGTTTCATATAAAAATATAATAATTACACTTGAGTTTTTCCCGTAAGCAACTTTTCTTACTAGTCTTACCTGCTATTCTTACTTGCTTTATTATTGAACCTCAACGTTTTCAAGTTTTCATTCAAATGTTTTCTGGTAAAATTGAGCTCTCGGACTGATGTCTGTCTGCTCAATTTTTGTCTACTTAGTTGCCACATCAAGAACTTTTCCTGCGTTGTAAGCAGTTTTTCATCGTAGTTGCTAGTGTTGCTCCGAGTTGTTTCAAGGGAAATTTAATACTTTTTAAAATCACTTTTTTTGGCTCAACTGGTGTGTCTGGCCAAAAGTTTTCGCTAATGAGTTTCCGCTTCGGGAATTTTGTTCTGTTGGTAGTTTAATATTCAATTGTTTTTCATGGCTTGTTGGTCGTTGGCCTAAAATGAACTTTTAAAGAAACATACGCTAATTTTGTAGACCTAGATTTTTCAACCTTTTCCATTTGTTTTCATTTTTCATGTTTTTTATGTTTGTGTTGTATCGCAAGTGATAAGAAGCTCCGCTTCGCCTCTGTTAAAGTTAAATTTTCCAAAACAATATATATCGCGAGGTTTTTAAAATGCATAATTTATGCTCAATTCGGCTTTTTATTCCGACTTTTTGAAAAATGGGGAAGAACTTGGTATTCGGGTGTGTAAGTTTTTTTCATTTTGTTCTCCACGCAAAATTAGATACCACAAAAAATTCAATCGTGATTTGAACGACATTTAAAAATTTTATAATTTTTTTCACATTGTCGAGAAAAACCTGTTTGAATTTTTTGGTATAATTTTGATCTAATTTGGTGTGAGCGTTTAGGAGTTTTTTAGCGCCCTTTTGTGAATAAGAATTAAAAATACCAAATATTTCTGCAAAAATTTTTAAAAATTTTTAATATTAATATTTTTTGACAATTTTTTAGGGTTTCTAGTAAATTTTCTTAAAAACTGTACTACGAATGGCCTTTTTTACTATGACTGTCAAGTATGGCTAAGTTCTCTTATATTGCTCCGATCTTTTTATCACTCCATGCAGAAAAAAAACGACACTAATTTGGAAAAAAAAAATTTTTTTTTTGGTTTTTTCTAAGACGTGGCTGGGCTGAACATTGTGCTACTTGCACAGTAACCGGCTATCCTCGTTCTTTTCCAATTTAACTCGTGTGGTTGCTTTTAGCTTATTTCATACCTCTTATTACATGCAAACTTTGTATTTCTGGGATTTTGAAGCTCCTTTTGGCCCTAGTCTTTGGTTTCTGTAGGCGTCATTGGCACAATAAAGTAGAGCAGCCAACTGGAAAATATGAATGTCTTAGGACTTAGGATTAATTCCCCGTATAGGTCATTATTTCAAAGCTAATTAGCTTTTTTCGTTTTGGACCAGCTAGTTCTGGTGTGTTTGCTTGTGTTTATGGAACGCAGCTTCGTATCTGTGTCTAAATCTAATTTCGAAGTTAAGGTCAATCCTCTGCTGCTGTCAAAGAAACAGACAAAAGTGAAAACTTTTGTTTGTTTTTGCATTAGTTGCCGTGGTTGAAAGACTCGAAGTAATCGTACAGCAATTGTCTGTTCTGGCTCTTCAAAAGTGATGATTTTATGTTTTTCTTTTGTGTGAGTTTTCGGAGTTATTAACTAATCGCAGTTTAGATATGTAGGTCGATTTTTTTTTGTAAATTTAAATGAGGTATCGGGTTTTGTGCTAGGCATAATTGGATCCGTGCAGGTAAAGTTAAGCTCATTTATTTTAAATTTTTCAGACGATGTCTGCAGAAATAGACTTGGAGCAAGCCTATCTTTATTTGGAATCTGCTCGTAGTGGCTACACTGATTTGAATTCAGTATTCAATCCAAACACTCCTCTTTCCACGCATCGACTATCGGGGCCTTACGTAACAGACCAAGCACAAGTTGAGGGCGTTGGGGAGTTCTGGTCATTCAGTACGGGTAGAATCCGAGTTGCCTTCTGTGACGGGGTCTTCTTGGACATGAAGCTGTCACAATATTCCTATCCCGATTCTTCCGAGGGTGGTGAAGATACGGCAAGAAGTGGCTTCTCTGGAATCACATCGGTTGCTGATCTCCCTGTGGGGCTGGCGCGCATGTTGATGAAAGATGGAACTTACCAGTTTGTCAACATTAGCAACCCACCACCTCAATTCACTCGGTGAGGCTAAGCTAGAGTACTTTTCTTTTTATCACTTTTTGAGATGTGTTAAGATTGGGTCTTAGAAACCCTAAAACCCAACTTAACACATCTCATCAAGATTCAATTGATATCTTTGTTTCGCCTGTATTTTGGTTCATCACGGTTGGGACAAAGTATCGATGTACCGGTATGAATGTGACGACCTGCTGCGGCAAGTATAGTGTCACAAAGATTGTTCTGTGGTGTTGAACTAACCACCTCATGCTTCAATGATTTGTTCGATAAAGTATCTTAAAATTCATTCCTCCCTGCTTTTGATTCGAACATGACCTTGAAGACCCAAATTAAAAATATATCTCAGACCTGTTATCACCAACTCCGGAAGTTGTATTCGTTCAGATACTACTAAAGTTTCGAGAATAGACATATGTTAGCCAAAATTTTAGTACTCTCGGCTAGGTTAATGCAATAGCATCTATCAGTCTCTACCCAATCATTTAATTCTGAAGCTCCAACGCGTCCAGAACAGCGCTGGCAGATTCGTGTTTTTAATTTCGAAAATGCACAGCACTACTAATTTCCTAGACGATCTGCACTGGTTACCAATTGTGCATTGAATTCAGTATAAAAGTACTAGTGTTTGTTCACAGAATTGTTCATAATCCTGATAGTATACCTGTCTATCTCTTAGCTGTATAAAGTTTAATTATGCTTAGGCATTTTTGGTTCTGTTAATTTTAATTGTTTTATGTGCATTTGAAAGGAATTACTTATAAGTCGTCTAATGAAAGCTTTGATGTTTTGCCGCATGTGAAAAGTTTTTGCGCGCACGTTTTAAAACTATAAAACTGTCTGAATAGCCTTTGGCCGAATTGTCTCAATCATTTTGACTGAATTTGAAATTGGCTGAATTGTCTGTGGCCGAATTGTCTGAACGCGGTTGCGATAATATTCTTGCTCAAATGTCCAATTTTGGTGTGAAAAAGAGCTGTATGGCCGGTACAGATAATATGTATGGTAGAAGCAGCAACCAAGTAATGGCAGCTAGCGCAGTTGTAGAGGGGATGGAATTCTTAGTGTGCAATTACCTCAATCACGGAACAAAAGTGGCAATACTTTCTTAAGTTGGACGGAGAGGACGCCAAATCAATCCGCTATCTAAATGAATTGTGCAAACGCCATGCAATGGCCGATAACGTACCGTATGTCAAAACGAAGAAATTCAAACTTCGGAAGGCTTACATCCTAAACCGTCATCAGTGCGACAACTAGCCCGCCAATTTCAAGTCGCCCTCAATTGCTTATAATTGAACTAATTGTTTTGGGTGCGCTTCGTTACAGCCTTCAAGTTTTTTGTTTATTGTTAACTAGTGGCATTATGAAACACTAGTGGCATAATGAAAGACTCTTTTTTTTACTAGTACCGTTCTCTAACTCAGTTATAATTCTTCGGTTATTGTTCCGACCATTGAAAATGGGGAGGAACTTAGTATTCGGTTGTTTGAGGTTTTTTCTTTTTGTTTTCCAAGCAAATGAAGGTACCACAAATAATCATCGGACTGGGTTGAGTGATATATCATATTGAAGTTTTAACAGTCGTGATTCGAACCACATTAAAAAATGTCCCAATATCGAGAAAAACCGGTTTGAACTTTTGCTTTTTCGTCTTATTTCGAGCGAATAAAGTGAGCGAGCAGTCTTGTTTTATTTCAATTGCTTAAAAGCTGAGAATAGCTTAATTTAAATTGTATGAACTTAGTTCTGCTTGAGTAGCCTTAGTTTACTTTGAGTATTTCAGCGCCGTCTTAGAATCCAAATTTTCAGAAATTCAAAAAACTGCAAAGTTTGAAAAAGTTTCATATAATTTTTTATAATTTATTCTTTGTTTTTCAAAAACAATTTTTCTTCAAAAATTGTTTTTGAATTTGCTTATTTTAATATGACTGTCGAATATACCTAATCTCCAGTTTTTTGTTCAGCTCTTTTTATCGCACCACGCCGAAAAAAGACAATAAATTGAAGAAACTTATTGTATGTTTTTAAGACTATGGTAGGAACATTCTGTGCTACTTACACAGTAACCGGCTATCCTTGTTTGAATTTGATACGTGTTGAAGATCCTTACTTCTTGAGTTTTTATGACTTCATATGGTTGCATTAGACCTATGATGTTCTAGTATTCCTTCTGTATGCAAATGGCCGCTAAAGGTGTTTGCAAAGTTTTTAATCAAAAATCATGAAATGACCATATCAGGTCTTTCAGATGAAAATATATCGCGTTTTGAAGCAAATGACCGCTTTCAGGTCTCTGACAAACGATATAAGAAAATCTACAATTGATTAAAGAGGTTTTTTCGCATTCCCAAGAGCTATGTTTGAATGGGAAAGAATTTTTTAAAACGAAATGAGCAAATGTCCGCTTTCTGGCCTTTGCCAGAAGATGTGGAAGTGGAAGATTATCCTAAGATCAATATTTTGCAACTTGACAGTAATTTAAACAAAAATGACGGTGTAAAGCTATTTCATGATATGATGATGATGCTTTTTCAAAGTTGATCAAAATGCTGCGGGGAGCGAATGATATTTAGTGAAATGGACATCGCTGCTAATGATAGGCCTAAGCGCCTAAGAATGATGATGAGTCTTTGTCCTGTAAGTCACACATGAAGCTGCAATTTAATTTCGGGTGCTTCCTAAAAAAAGGTTACAATTGAGTTGTTTATGGTTTTGGTTGAGAGGGTGTTTGCTTGGTGGAGGTCTGTTCAGGGTTTGGTTAAGGGTGTTTGTTTGGTTTAGTTGAAGGATTGGTTTCAATAGGGGAATTGGAATGTTATCAACATCACAGCAGTGGATTGTGTTTGCATGCTATTAGTTGGAGGTTGATGAGAGGCTTTTATACTGTTTGGAAGGGAATGAATTACAGGCTTGTGACGGATTCTTTTTGATTGTGTTTTTTTTTACACGAGTAGATAGTACATAGGATTCAGTGCAAGCTGTTCAGTGAAAATTGTCCTATTGGATTTTTTTCTAGTTCACTGCATTTGAAATGAATCCATACGTTTTTTTACTAAACGTTTTAGAGAAAGAAAAATGACCAGGGTTGTGCTTAGTGCTGCTCGAAGAAAGCGGTTTCCAATTAACGGGCGGAGGAATCCAGGGGGCTTAGGAGGCTTCAAAAAAACTCCAGTCCGTGCATGCTGCTTGCGCCGGTCCTCTCTCCGTGCATTAGAAGTTGTTTACACAATTGAGTCCCTTATGATGAACGGGCCAAATGATGGAAACCAATCCAAGAATTATGAATTATGATTACCAAGAGTGATGATTATTCAAGAATTATGAATATATCAAAAGAAAATAATTAAATTAAGAGCAGCTTATTCAATATTGGCCGAATACAAAAGCAGCAGATAATAATGGTGTCGGCTGAAGTGTGTTGCGAGCTTGTCAGAACCGAGACAAAAATTGTTTATGAAAACGCCTGGCGATTATCGGACTGAAGTGCTGATGCGCGCGTAGCGAACCATCGCCAGGCCATCGAGAATATTTTTTGCAGCGCGTAATTTTTGCTTTCGGTGTTTTACATATAGCGTTCAGCGATTGGAAACTTATCTGTTTTCTACAATTTTGATGGGTTAAAGCCCACCATTCGGCCCCTCCATCTTGAGAGTAGCCACTGGTTGTACACGGCGCGTGGGGTCCACCACTGGAACGCGGCACTTCTGGACCTTGATTGTTCAGTTGAACATGAATGAGGAAATGACCTAAGATAAATGGCAGTGGTGGGAGGGGTAAAAATAGGCTTAGCCATAAAAGGAGAACTGAAAGATAAATTAGAAAGATGACTGACAAGTCATGTGTGTGATTGTGTAGCTACCTGTTGGCTGCGGGAGAGTGGATGCAGTGGGTGAAGTGTCCGGAGGAGAAGCGTGAGAGTGTGTTCACCAGTGACAACCGCATCCTACAACACATGATACAGTCTGAACTGGACAAGATTAAATGCTTCAACTGTAAGTGGTGGTTATACATTACATTTCGCATCCAACTCACCAATGAAATGCAATGCAATGCAACACATCGAATTTCAAAGTAAACTCACTCCTATCAACTTTTTGATTTTATGCTCAGTCATCTCTTTGTATTCTCGAAAGTTATACGCAAGTCATTTTCAATTAAGAAAGCGTAGTATTTTTAGAAATTTACTTTGACAGCTGTTTCAAAAGTGTCGCACAAGTCGCTCAAATCGGAATGTACATTTTTTTCGGGTTAACAACTAGGTTAACAAAATCAGTTGAATATTTGATTGTTTCTTGGAATCTTTTTTCACTTTTTTCGAAAACTACCCAGTCAAACCTGAGATAAAGAATTCAGTTGAAAGAGCCAGTTGTAGTTTTCTTCTTTAAATAAGCGGCTAATTCCCTAGTTAAGTAGGAAAATCGCTAGGGTTTTGCGTAAAGTCCATTTTTTGAAACCTTGAAAATTACGCATTTCGGTATCAGTACAATCAAAGATTAAAATATTAAAACAGGTGCATCCAGCATTAGCTGAGCCACTAGTTATCTCCAAGCGGCCGTGGCGCAAATATGAGGACATGAGACTCCTAATCAACAGGTGGGAGATTCAAATCCTGAACATTGAATTATTTTTTTTGCTCGAATTTTAAGTGCATAACATTGGCAATTTTATAAGAAACTGCAGCTGCTTTATTGGTGGCTAGTGTTACACCTCATCTCAGCAATTGGTGGCTAGTGTTACTCCTCATCTCAGCAAAATTTCCCAAGGTGTATTTTAATCGTTTCCTTTTTCCTGATTTCTTTTTGTTTTGCCTGTTCAGAGCTCTTTTTTGCATTTTCCTCGCTTGTGTTTGCGAAGCACAGCTTCGCCTCTGTGTAAAAAGCTTAATTGTTGTATTGCATTCTCAAGTGGAATTTTTTGGCGACTCCAAAAATACACGAGAAAAAGCACGTTTGAAGTCAGTGTAACTCCATAAATCTTGGTTCTAAACATGTGATATTTTATAAGAGTTGATACACGTACTGAAGTTTCTTATATAGGTCCTGATATTTTTTCAGTTTTTTTCTTCACGCTCAATTTCGACTTTCTGCCGTTTGATTTTGATTTCTTTTTAAGTTTGCTTCATTTCCTTTGCTAAAATGAAGACGAACTCCGTTATCGAACAGTAAAAAGGTTAAGGTCACTAAAAACGTGATCGACTTCTAATCTCGGAACTGGAGTTTAATTATCAGATTTCCCAGCCAAATAAAAATTTGAATTTTTGATCCAGTTTTTCCAAATTGGTTTAATTTTTATCAAAAAAGTACCAATCTCAAGTTCGTAAAATTCAAAGAGTTTTAAGGGCATATATTTTTTCTTTAAATTCGAAAGCTGCCGTTTTTGTTCTTAAAACAAGTCAGCTTTTTTTCTGTTTCCTTGTGTTCATTATCTTTTCCAACTGTCAGTTGCTATGTTTTCTTCATTTGGTGTCATTATATTAATATCAAATTGAAATTTTTTGATTATTAAATTGTTATTAATTTGAAAATTAAGTTGATATTAATTTAAAAGTTATCGAGGCTCAATTGAAGGAATTTGGTTTTATAATTGTGATAAGCTTAAATATAACATTTGATGTTATGCGTTTCAGTTATGAAAAAAACAGCCACTCGATTCCCGCTTTTGAGACCTGATCCAGTGGGAGGCCCATCTGAACAGTCCAACTGCAATCTTGACGGAGATGACACCACGGTAGTAGATGTCGAGTCTATCACTTTCGTAGACTCGGACAGAACGTATTCTAAGAGTGATTTTCTGGGCGGAGCGAAAGACAGATCAGCTGACAGTCCTGCGTTGTCCCGCAAACCTCAGGAGAAAACAACAAATTCGTTTGGAAAAATGGAAAGGCCAGAACGAAGATATTTGCAATTTACTCAGATCTTATCTGAACCAAAGTCAACTAGTGGCGACTGGAAGAACAGATATTGTGGACCAAATTTTGCTGATGGCAAGGGATTTGAGGGTGCAGTTGAAGGTGAGCACATCGAATCGAACAGTGAGACAAGAACTGGAAAGCGTGCTGATGACTTAAAAACAAATTTTGGTGATAGCTCATGTGATATTGAAAGTGATAATAGCTCAAAAAACAGTGTAAAAACGTCGGAAAAATCTGTTGTGGAGGCAACAAAGAATGATATACTTGATTTACCCATTGGTTCTGTAAATAAAGTTGCTGAGAAATCACTCAATTGCAACTCAGTGAACGCGAAGAAACAACCTGAATTAGAAATCAGTTTTGATACGGAGACGAGCGTGAAACAGGCCTCAACAACTTCATCTTTTCCGTCCCAGAATCCCAGTAAAAACAAATCTGGCCAAGTTAGCAAAACCAGCTCGATGAAGTCTAGCGGCAAAAAAGTTCAATCGGCCCAGAACTACAAACAGTCCGAACTGCAAAATGACATACAAAAGATTCTCCAGAAGACCAGGAAAGATTTAGACTTGTATGAATCATTATGTCACAAACTTCCAGGTTCTCAGAGTCCAGAAAAGAGTGAATCAGAAGCGTCATGTTCAAAAAGTAAAAAAGAATTGAAAACTGAATCGACTAGAGCTGTGCTAAAATTAGACGATAGTGTGAAACTGAATTGTGAGATGCATGTAGTTCCTCCCCCTTGTGAATTTGCAGATGAAAAGAAGGAGAGTCGATCATGCAAGGATCTCACGGGTCTGTCGATCATATCGAGGCCAAAAAGTCCTCCATATGTAAAAGTGGACTGTAGTTCAGATAGAGTGACAGAAAGCCCACCTAGATCACCCCCTGGCGCAAGATACGTCAGAGATGCCATGAGTTCATTGACAGAAGATAACAACGACACTAACAATCGCTCTACTTTGCAGAAAGAAAACTCATCAACTGAAGCCGCGTTTCAAAAGCCACATGCATCATCCTCGTCAACAGAAGTGAATTCAACTAAAGATCGACTGTCGGTTTGTTCAAAAGACTCATCTTCGAAATCTTGCTTGAAGGGAAATAGAAATACAAATAATCGAGATTTTGCAGTAGTATCCACTGCTGATACATTTGATAAATGTGAAGTCCTCAATAGCGTTCATTACAGATTGACCAAAAATACGGCCGATTCAAGCTCCAAAAATGGGCGCGAATCGAGCTTGAGTCCGAAAGTGAGACCGAACAGTGGAACAAGCTGCTCTTTTCGAACAGCAAGTTCTGTGGATACTGCACAAGACATCGACAAGTTCATTCAGGAGAATTCAACTGGCCTGGAAGTGCAATTTGACTTTGCGTCAGTGACAGATGCCCTGTTTAAAACACAGCAGGCCATCAAGACAATCGAAGACATGCTGGGAAACAAAGAAGAGAGAAGTTTGAGCAATGATGAGAATGATGAAAGTTTCAGAGAAGAAGAAACTGAAAACGAAAAAGATTGAATTCAATGAGCGAATAAACTGAATGTGTATCGCAGATTTAGTATTGAACTGATGCAAGTCTAAATGGACTTAAATGATGAACGCCCAGTAATTAATCTTGCAATTTACTGTGAATTTTTCATTTGATGTATTTTACGTTTTCTTGCTACTTACATGCTAATTATCGTGTTTTGGTGAATTGTGTTGTATATATTGTAAAATTGTTCTATAGATGTTTAATACAAGCTAGCTAATTTAGTTTGTTTTCTTTACCAGATATTTTGACTCATAAAAAAGCTTGTGCTTCTTGTGAAGCCTATGGTCGAACTTATCAATTTTTTTGATTGGAATGAATGTACTCATTTAGTACTTTTTTTTCTCAAGTTCTCGATCACGCTTAATTTTGATTTTCTTAATGGTGTGGTTTTTGATTTTGTAAGTTAATTCATTTTTTAGTTTTCATTGTTTTGAAGCTCAAACTCTGCTTCAAACTCACTTGGTAAACGGATGGAAAATTCAATCTCGAACTGCCGAAAATGAAAGTTGTACTGGACTTCTATTTTCAAACGCCGGTTTTCACACAATCAAAGCTTGTGTATTAGTATGAACTCTCTTTTTTCCAACCTAAGTCGCAAAAATTGTTGCGACGCAAATATTGTTGCGACAAAATTTTTCATTTTGAAAGTGTTCATTTTGATCAATAGCCAGCTATCAAGTATAGCCAATGCTAAGGATATTAACGCAGGCTATTGTATTACAAGTAGCACTTTGCCTTCAAGGTATCATGGATCTGTAGCGTACAGGGAGGGAAGGAGACCCGCAACAAACAAGAGGGTTCGAACCTGGGCAGGGGCAGATATTTTTATTGAACTTTTTTGTATACTAGTTAAAATGCGTCCACTATAAATTGAGGCATGTTATGTGGTAATTTTTTTTTCAAATTGACTGGTACCGCTAATGCGTCATAATTGACTTGCGTCACTTAGCAATTCTGTAGGCTCATAATTGGTGTGCTTCACTTGAGACATTTTTGTAGACCCAAAGTTTTCCTCATTTAGTTTTTCACATTAGCATTACCGGTCATAGTTTTGCTTGTGTATGCGAAGTGCAACTTTGCCTCTGTGTAACGCTTAGAAGTCCCAATGGCATATAAAAGACCTTGTTGTCGATTTTTTTCAAATAATCTTGTTTAGAGTGAAAGTTGCTTCCTTTCGTTCATTACTGTTTTCCAACCGTCAGCTAGCGATGTTTCTAATTGAAAGTCGATGAACTTGGTTCAGATTCGTATATCGGTCGGGATGATTTTTTTCCAGGACAAGTTGCAGGAAAATTTGTTCAGATTCAATTTTACTTTTCCGCGGTTTGACTTTTAAGTTCAGTTCATTTCCTTAGTTAAAAAGAGGGTAAAGTCGACTTCCAATAGCGAAAGTGTAAAAATGAGGAAAATGGAAATTAGTTTTTAGATTTCCCAGCGAAATAAAAAAATATATCTTATCTATTGATCCAATTTTTTTATAATTGTAATAATTTTGTCAAACAATGTCAATCATAACTTAGTCAATGCGCTTTAAGTCCTGAATTTTATTTTTCCTGAAACTTGATTTTTTCTATTTATTTGCGTTCTTTGACTCTTTTCCAACTGTCTGTTGGCTATGTTTTTTTTTTCATTTAGTTGATGAAATTGAGACAAATATAATGTTTTCAATTTTATCTGTATTTGCACTTGCAAAGCAAAATGTCTTAATATTCAAACCTAAGTCGCAAAATAATGCTGCTTTTGATGGCTTTGTAGAATGGGTAGGCTGCGGTAGCAGTCTAATTTCAAATGTGTTTTGTCATTTGATTAGTGAAAAGTTAACAGCCCTGATGCATTTTTAATTCATCAAATGAACCGCAAGAAGTTATTCGATTAAAACAGTAGTACAATGATGAAAATCTTGATTTGAGAAATTGTCCAAGTCAATATTTCTCGCAATTTTTTGAAATACATAATTTAAACATTCGGCTTTCTGCTTTTCAAATGATAACATACAGTTTTAAATCTTTTTGTATTTGGTGCTACTTTTGCTGCATCAAACTGACAGTTTAATAGCATATGTAGCTGCGTTTTTGGTGAAGAGTTTGTGGTCATTTTAAGCATCCGTGGCTGGGTGATTAGTGTGAGACTCAAATTCGCTGGGTCGCCGATGCGACTCCAAGAACGTAGCCGAGTTTTTACTAATTCGAGGTTTATTTCTACTTTTTCTTATTTAGTTGATAAAGTACAATTTTTTGGGTAGAACTCTAGAATTAGCGTTTCAAGAGTTATTGAACGTAAAGAAGATTGTTTAATAGGTCTTGATGCTTTTTTAACTTTGAAAGTGTTAAAGTTTGATCATGTTCAAGTTTGATTTTGGTCGTTTTGCCTTTTGATTTTTATTTAGGATAAGTTCAAATTAAATAAAAGGAAGGCAAACTCCCGTATCAAGCAATAAAATGGTTAAAACCACGAAAAATGTGATCGACTTGAAATCTTAAAATTGAAATTCAGCTTTCATGTTTTTCAGCAAAATCAAACTACAATTTGATCTGGTTTTCTCGAACTGGTTTGTTTATATCAAAAAAATGTCAGTCGTTAAATGGTCTTACAATTCAAGAAGCTTTGTTTGAATATGTAAATTTTTTTCTTTTTTTTGCTTCTTTCCGTGCATTGACTCAGTTCCAACTTTCTTTTCGCTAAGTTGAAAAGTTGCAGAGACAGTAATGACAATTAACTGTTTATTCAAGTTACCTTGAAATTAAGTGCATTGAACCAACGAAAAAATGTTTGTTCGCCGCTGATGCACATATACCGGGCAACAAGACAAATGTTGACAATAAAAATGTGTTTTTAGGTAGCCTGACTATATACACAAGAAGTAATGATGGAAAATTGAAAAAAAAACACTAGTGAGAAATATTGGATAAAATGGTGGAAGAGGCTGTGTCTCAAGTCAGTGTTATGGCAGTTAGCGTTATTCTTCCATCTTTTGTTGGCTGCAGTTGTTTGCAAGGGTTATTCAGTTTTGTTTGTGAGAGCAAAGGTACTGCACCCGAATAATAATGTTTTTTATCAAATAACGTGTTATGATTTCAGCTCATGGAATCATGTATTCAAGCAGTCATTACCAACATGTTCAAAATTTGCATTTTTTGACAAAAAAATTTTCCTTTCCAGGGTTTTTCTGAGTATTATGCTTGATCAGCTGCATTTAATATGCATTTTATTTTGAGAGTCAATTGCTTGTTTTTTGTTTTGCTTTTTCCTTATGCAAATCATGATCAGTTTTTTTATATTTAATTTGATTTTGTTTACGTTAAGTTCAATTTAAATAAAAGGAAGACGAACTCCCTTATCAAACAGGAAAAGGGTTAAAGACACAAAAAATAAGATCGACTTCTAATCTCAAAAGTATAATTCAGCTTTCATGTTTTTCAGCAAAATCGAAATGTACAATTTGTTCCCGTTTTCTCGAATTGGGTTGTTTATACCAAAAACAATGTCAATCATTAAATGGTCTAGCAATTCAAAAAACTTTAAGGTCCAATATGTAAATTTTTGATTTTTTTTGTGCTTATTTCCGTGCATTGACTCAATTCCAATTGTCTTTCGGCCAAGTTGAAAAGTTGAAGAGACAGAAATGACAATTAAGTGTTTATTCAAGTTACCTTGAAATTAAGTGCAGTGTACCAAAGAAAATTTTTTGTTCCACCGCTAACGAACGTATCCCAGGCAACAAGACAAAAACTGACAAGAAAAATTGAGTTTTTACGTAGCCTGACTATCGAGACAAGAAGTGATGACAAAAAACTGAAAAAGAAACCTTAGTGGGAAATATTGGATAAAATAGTAGAAGAGGCGGTATCTCAGGTACAAGTCAGCGTTATGGCAGTTATCGACTTTTTTGTCATCTTTTGCTGGCTGCAGTTGTTTACAATGGTTATTCAGTTTTTTGTTTGTGAGAGCAAAGTTACTGCAACCGAGTAATAGATTTTTCGTGTCAAAATTCCTGTTTTAATTTCAGCTCATGGAATCAAGTATTCGAGCAGTCGTTAGTAAGTTGTTCATGATTTCAATTTTTGACACTCCAGGGTTTGTCTGACTATTATATTTGATCAGCTGCATTTAATATGCTTTCTGTTTTGAAAGTCACTTGCTTTTTTTTTATTTTGCTTATTCCTTATGCAAATAATGATCAATTTTTTTATATATTTAACTTGATTTTTATTAGGAATAAGGTAAATTTAAATAGAGGAAGGCAAACTCCCGTATCAAACAGGGAAAGGGTTAAAGTTGCGTAAAATGTGATCGACTTCTAATCTCAAAAGTAGAGTTCAGCTTTCATGTTTTTCAGCAAAATCGAAATGTACAATTTGATCCGGTTTTCTCGAGTTGGTTTGATTATATCAAAAAAATGTCAATCGTTAAATGGTCTAGCAATTCAAAAAGCTCTAAGAACCAATATGTATATTTTTGATTTTTTTCGTTTCCTTCCGTGCATTGACTCAATTCCAATTGTCTTTTGGCTTTTTTGAAAAGTTGCAGAGACAGTAATGACAATTAACTGTTAATTCAAGTTACCAGGCAACAAGACGAATGCGTTTAAGAAAATTTGTGTTTTTTGCGTAAATGAGAAGTGGTGATGGAAAATTGAAAAGAAAGTAGTGATCGAGAAAGGAAGTGATGATGGAAAATTGATTTAAAAAAAAGGCGAAGAAAATTGAATGAAATAGCGAGAGAGGCGGTGTCTCCGGTAAATGAAATACTGTTGGCGGTTATTGACTTTTTTTTTCTTTTGTTGGCTGCAGTTGCTTACAATGGTTATTCAGTTTTATGTTTGTGAGAGCAAGGGTACTACAACCGAGTAACAGATTTTTACCGTCAAAAACCCAGTTTTTTTTTTATTTTCAGCTCATGGAAACATGTATTCAAGCAGTCGTTACTAACTTATTTATGACCTCAATTGTTGGCGCACAGAAGATTTCCTCGGGTTTTGTCTGACTTTAATGCTTGATCAGCTGCATTAAATATGCCTTTTCTTTTGAAATTCAATTGTTTTATTTTGCTTTTCATTATGCAAATCATGATAATTTTTCTAATAATTAAATTGATTTTTGTCTAATCTAAACTAATTTGATTTAAAAGGAAGGCAAACTCCGTTATCAAATAGGAAAAGGGTTAAAGTCACGGAAAAACGTGATCGCCTTCGAATTTCGAAAAGAGCTTTCAGCTTTCATTAATACTAGCCAAATCAAAAAATGTACATTTTGATCCAGTTTTCTTGATTTGGTTTGTTTTTATCGAAAAACGGTCAATCGTAAAATGCTCTTGCTATTCAAAAAGATTTTATCTCAAATAGGTAAAAATTTGGAATTTTTTGCTTTGTTCTGTTCATTGACTTGGTTCCAACTGTCTATTGGCTATGTTTAAATAGTTGCAAAGACGATAATAGCAATTAACTGTTTATTCAAGGTACCTTGAAATTAAGTGCAGTGAACCAAAGAAGAATGTTTATCTTTGGCGTAGCCTAACTATTGAGACAATAAGTGATGATGGAAAATTCATTTTAAAAAACTAGTGAGAAATATTGGATGAAATAATGGAAGAGGCGGTGTCTCAGGTACAAGACAGCGTATTGGCGACCATCGACATTTTTTCTTTTTTCTGTCGGCGGCGTTCGTTTTCAATGCTCATTCAGTTTTGTTTTTGTGAGAGCTAGGGTATTGCAACCGAGTAATGGATTTTTTGCGTCAAAATCCTTGGGTTTTAATTTCCACTTTATTCATGCGATCGTTACTAACGTGTTGATGATTTCAGTTTTTGACACACAGAAGTTTTTTCTCCAAGGTTTATCTCACTATTATGCTTGATCAGCTGCATTTAAAATGAAATTTGATTTTGAAAGGTAACTTTTTCTTTCGCTTTTCTTATGCAAATCATGATTAACTTTCTTTTTATATTCAACTTGAAAGTGTTTACGGACTTTCTCTTCTTTTTCTCCTCATCTGATATCAAAAAGGTTTGAAATTTGATATGTGAATCAACGAATCAGAATTTTCAACAGGAAGTAGCAAATATGCCTGGGACGGCATAGGTACTGAGTTCCAATCTCACCAGAACCTGTTTTTTTCTCAAACGGCAAATGTTAAATTTCAAATAAAATTGTCGGTCAATTTTTTTTCTGCTTATCTGTTGTTGTCTTAGTTGTCACATCTTGGGGGATGTCGTGAGGTCACTATCGGTACCTCGTTATTCTATATGCTTATTTCTATATTTATTCTACTATTATTTTGATGGTGCGAAAAGTGGCCACGCTTAAGGCGACATTCAACCCCAGTTAACGCTTTGACACCTTTTTGATACACAAGCTTAGTTGCGCTTAATCTCGTGTGAAAATTCAGTCAGGCTTAATCTCACTGTTAGTTTATCTCTACAAAACGATGTTAGTTTAACCTATGTCAATTGATACAGTGTATCTGATTTACTCTATTCTCATCTCGCTTAACCCTGTCTCTTAGCGACTCGATCCCCTGCCAACCTTTCGTACTGCTTTTACATGATCCATTTTTAGTCAGAATCTTCCAAAAATGGTTAAAAATACATGGTCTTTACAAACATGGTCTTTTTTAACTTTTTGGCAGAGCTCGAAGTTTCAATAGTTCTACACGTAAAGCTCGACAAAAACTCCTGCGCAAAAAATCAAAGTAAATTCAGTTTATTTGCAAGTCTAAATGGTCTAAGATGTGATCAGATAATGGTGACCAGAGAACATTTGGTTCGGTTCGATTCTGTTCTGCTTTTGGGTTTGTTCACATGTCTGAAAATAATTTTTTGAACTCGTGGAAGTTGAGTTTTCCGTCCTTGTCGTGATCTGCATCGTCAACTATCCTGTCAATATCGTCCTCGTCTATCTCCTCCCCCAGATTCCTCAGCACGTGTCGGAAGGCAGCCTTAGTGATCAGTCCGTCTCCCATCATGTCAAACACCTATTCAATGCAACAACACGACAGAATCTAACAAGGAATCGTCTGATCAGTTGAACTGGATGTTTTCGTAACGGCATCTTCCAAAGTTAGGCATTGATTAAGTATTTGCGATAGGGAAGAATGTCAATAAGGAGACGGGTCCGACAGAGACAATGAACTCAATAGAAAATTATGAGAGACAGTCAAGCAAACAAAGCAGAAGAAAATGCTGAACGACAAATAAGATGACAAATAACAAACAGCCGTTAATTCGACAACCGTTTTTGATGTGACTTTGAAACGACGCTACACGCAATTCTCCACAGTTTATTTCTGAGAAATTTAAACCGCTTAAATTCGAACTGCTCATTTTACATGTAAAAACAGTTATTTTTCGTCTTAAGGTCTTATCGCCTCAATGGCCTGTCGTCTGATTTACCAAGCACATGAGCATACTTTAAAGATATTGTAGGATCCTGTTTTTTTCAGGAATATGGTCTTTTGGGTTCAATTAGTTTTAGGTTTAGTTGATTATCATATTTAAAATCCAATTACCAATCCCCTCGAAACAGGTTTCTAGTTTTTACTTCTAAAATGATTTAGAATTTAATAAATATCTACAGTTTAATGATTTATAGCATCAGGGGCGGATCTAGGATTTTCTCGAGGGGGGGGGGGGGCAGATTTTCAAAAAATTTTTACGACAATACCACTGATAATGCCTCAAGTGCTTTTGCGATATATCTTCGGTAAAAGTTTTAAGCAAATTATTTCTTGTTTCAATCCATTTTTCAACTTCGCTGCTTTCGGTTAAATTTTTTTTTTCCGATTTTCTTACAAGCCGAAGTCAAATTTGATACATCATTTAGCTGACTGGTTTTCATAGATATGTTTTATTTGCGAATTTTAAATGTTATTTAAATTACAGTTCATATTGTAAATTGCAGATCAATACATTCAAAAATAAACGGTACAATTTACCCAATTTAAATAAATTTTTGACTTATCGATATTTTCATGATTTTCTCAAATTTTTCAAGGTGCTATTTTTTGTTGTTTTTTTTGGGGGGGGGGGGGTGGGTGTCTACTTTTGTATTCGAATTAAATTCACTCTAAATTTTTTGATTGCTATTCATAACCATTTTTTCTATCCGTTTTGAAAAAAAATAGTATGTGTGTATAGAGGTTAAACATCACATTTTCGATCTGAAAAACTTAGTAGAAGTTCTACACACCAACAATCAATAAAAAAAATTGACAAGCTTCTCAACTAAAATTTTCAGAATGACAGCGAGAACAAAAAATCTACTGCTTTCCTCCGTTATTTGGATCTACTTGACAATTGCCCCCTTTGGTATCTACTTAAGAATTGCCACCCCTATTAATAAAAGAAGTAAATTAGAACTGAGCTTTCTATTGAGAATTAGAATTTTACTGGATTCTGATTGGTCGAAAATGCGTTATTTTAATCTACTTAACAATTGCCACCCCCCCCCCCCTTTCTTAAAAGGGGGGCAATTGTTAAGTAGATCCCGTTATTTTCCAACCCTTGCTTTTGCAGCACATAATCTTACAATAACAAATTGTAGAAAACTTAACCGATTTCAATATTTTCAATTATAATGAAAAATACAGAAAATAATTTAACTTAACAATTTGTGATTGAAAGATAAAAATTTTGTAATGATTCGGGATTAGCCAACACAGAAAAAAAACATACTGTTTCTATATGATATGCAGAAACCACTAAGTTCTGCAAAAACTGACCCTTGATGAATACCAAATAGACTCTCAGCATGACTAAAAGCAACGCTGAGTCCCCCCCCCCCCCCAACCACTCATTTTTTTACCGCAGCAATGCCGACAACAGTAAAATCTAAATTTTGAAAATCAAGATTACTTCCAAATCCAAACTGAGGCAATGAGTTTGGAGAGAAACTCAGAAAGATTAATTTATTCTTCGAAGACAACGACGAGAACTGAAATTCAGACAAAAAGCGACTCGAACGAAAAACTGAATTATATCATTAAAAAGTTGTGTTTAATTTAGATTCTTCATTCTTTCTGTGAAACCATCATCAGTCATTACGAGGCCAAACTGTGCACTGGATAGGCGCACATTTTTGTGTCTGTATGTTCCTGGATACCAGAAACAAGTCTTTGAAAATGTTCCGAAATGTAAGTGGATTCCACCTACAAAATTTCCGTGGATTCCGCGTACAAATGCTTGTACCGTAAGTTTTGTCGGCATATTAGTTTTGTTGCGGATTTTGCAACGAGCGAATATAGGTAGTTGTTCCGGATTCCACAAATGTTAGTGGATTCCGCAAATGTATGCGGACTCCGCTTACAATTTGCGGATTCGACTCACAGTTGTGGATTTCACGACAGCCTAAGTTTAATAAACACATATATTATTATTTGTTCATGGATTCCACTAACTGTTCCGAATTCCGCAAAATTTGTTGCGTGTTCCACAATTTTTGTCGCGGAATCCGAAAGTTGCCTGTTTTCGAACAACTTTGAGCAATACAATTTTTTAGCTATTCGTCCATGGAATACAAAACAGCAAAGAATATCAAAGAAAGGTAGCAATGTTGCAAGTTCCACGACAAATCTGACTTTGGCCTGTTGTGGAATCCGCTTACATTTTACAAAACGCACAGTTTGGCCTCTTAATGAACTGAAACAAAAAAGTGCAACCATATGCAGCAACAAACAAAACTTTGTTGAATTGTTGACTTTAATTGATTATCAGCAACTGAACAGTATTAAGAAAAGTGTGGTACTGCTCAGACAGTAACCTTAAGAAAATTGTTATGTAATAATCATAACAAAAAATTTCCAGCAATTCTTTTGTGGTAAGTTATTAAAAATACAAAACCAGGCCAACACTTTAACTGCCAAGAGATCATCACTGCACCTAGAAATCCGTTCACAGGTGTGGTTTGTACATTATTATTTTGTATATTCAAACTGTGACATACTTCAAGGTTGCAATTTTAACCGCATGAGCACTTTGATGTGACAAACCTATTTGAATCAGGGGCGCGTAACGTAGGTTTTTATACCGTACTAACGTACCAAGTCAAGGTCAGTATGTTCTCATGTTTGAATTTGTCATATGTATTCAGAGCTGCATATAAATAGAAAGAGTCGCAGCAGCTTAGATCTCAGAGAACTAAGCAAGGTTCAAAAAACTTGAATTAAATCTTTCACCACAATTTTTTCTTGTTTACTTTGCTATGTTTTTTATTGTAGCACATGACGCAGCCAGCACGAATCATTATGCAAGATAACAGGACAGACATGGGAGTTCCAGTTTCTTTGACTACAGCTAACTCAGACTCCTCGTGGCAGTTCATTACTTGGCTCGATCAGTTATTGATGGCGGTGACAGTTAAGGAAAACGTCAAGCGAGACTTGCTATTGGAAGACGCAAAGGATATACTAAAAAGCCTCCAAAAAGGCTAGAATCTCTTTAAAAAAAGTATAAAGTGTATTTGTTTTAGCAGCCAGAAAGCTGAGAAACACGCTTCCACAGAAAAACATCAGTTCAAAAACATAGGAAAGCAACTCAGAGGCTCAAAAGTCGGACTCAACGTTCATTTCTACAAGGTATAAAAACGACTAGTAACACGTCTGTTTTCAGCCTTGTGAACCCAGAGGAAAAAAGTTTCGTGCAAAAAATTTTCTTGTGGAACTTCTCAAATTAGCTTTCAAAGAGAAAACCGAAATGGCAAAAATAACATTAGTGAAGGTCAAAAAAGTAACGTACGAGCAATATAATATAATTTGTTCAATAGAACACAATAACAAGGTAAAACGCTTGAAATTTTCCACGCAGCGCTAACAACCACGGGAGCTGGGTCGTAAATGAGAACATCAGTGTATGAGTTAGAACGAGATCTCTTCATTTCAAAAATGAGAAAAGTAACACTACAAGATACGTTGAGATCCGAGAGTTTGTTCCTGGGGGAAGTATCGAGGAGAGCAAAAAAATTCGGACACATTAAACAAACAATATCGGCAATCCAAAAATCAACGTTCTTGAATGCAGGTGCAGCAGCAAAAACATCGTTCTCTGGCCCCAAAATAAAATAAGACCCGCTCATGACAATAAAAAATACAAAACAAAACAGAAGAGCGTTCAGGGGTAAAGAGTCTAACAAAAAGAATATGAATAACAGGAATAGGAGAAATAAATGAAACGGAAACCATGACTAAACTGTTGTAGATCTTTGACAGGAGAGCATTTGATTAACTGTCCCTTTATATGAGCTGTCGATCAATGCGAAAACATGCAAAAGCTGCGGTAATCAAATAAAACCCCGGGCGAAAGTAAGCAGATTCCAACAAGCAAGTAAACTGGCGCAAAAACCGGAAGCCTCAGAAGAACATTGCAAATTAATGGAGAATTTTGAGGATTTCAAAGATTTCGAAATAGTGTCAATACGCCCTAAAAACTAAAAAAAAATCAAAAAACATTTACAGAAACGAACTGAAAGTAAGTTCAGATGTAAGGAAAACATATAACAAGGAATTGTGGTGAGAAAAATTCCTATCAAAAAGATCCAAAGTTCATCAAAATGAAATTTTTAAAATCAATCACCATAATCAATCACCAAATAATTCACATGATGGGGATACAGGTATTCCAGTGTTATTACCTGTAATTATCCTGAACAACAAAACAGATATCAGATCTGTCAAACAAACCGAATCTTATTCCATCAGGAAATTGAAATTACCGGCTCAATTCGAGGATACCAAAACACCTCATACTCATACTGGGAGCTCAAGACTGAGTTACGTTCAGCGTTGTGCAAATTCTAAGAGACTACTATACTATCCTCATAACCTAGAGGAAAAGAAATTGTATATTAAGAATGGACTTGTAAGGTCAACTGTTGATCTCCACAATTCAGAGATCTCCACAATTCAGATCTCCACAATTCAGGGAAATCTTGCATAAGGTTTGACGTGCTTTTAAAAACCCGTTATGTCCGATCCAGAAAAAG